CCCCAAAACCCCAAAACCCCAAAACCCCAAAACCCCAACTCTCAAAATCATGAAGAATGGTATGGTTAATTTAATTAATTCTAAAATATACAAATTCAATAATTATAAGGTCAAATTAGCCAAATCATCCATAAATGTTGACCTGATAACTCAACAGTTTGCTGCAAAAGGATTAGGGTTATATTGTTCAAGATGCATTTGATTAGATGAAGTTTATTGTTATTATTGATAAGGTTGCAATTGGTATCTCTCAGCACTCTGTTCATTATTTCTACTTTGATTTTGATAGTTTTGTGTGAAGAATGGATGTTTCAGGGCTTCTTCTGGTTTTATTCTTTTGCTATGATCTAATTCTAGCATTCTATTAAGAAGGTCGAAGGCTTTATCATCATGAATCTTGCATATCTCTTTCCATTCAATTCTTTCCTTTTACATTTCTTCAGGAATCAGACATCCATAACCTAACTTAAATGCAATTTCTTTTATGTTGTTCTAACCAAAGAGGCAAACGAAGGGAATGAGGTTAGAAATTGTAAAATTCTTTATCTTTGAGCTGTTATTTAGTGAGAATATAGGGTGTCTTTATGCTAGAAAACTGAGGAAAATAACTCCACAAGCCCACACATCAACTGCGCTTGATTATTATTGATAATTTAACAGGGCTTCAGGAGGCATGTAACCTTTGGTACCTGTTCTATTCTTAATTTTTAATTTCTTTTAAAGATCTGCGATCTTCTTTACTGTTTCATTATCTGCTAGCTTTACTGGTCTTCCATTCTAGTCAACTTATATCTCGGAAAGACCAAAATCAATTAGAAGTCCTGTATGAGTTACAGGGTCATAAAGGAAGTTTGAGGGTTTAATGTCTCTATGAATTACTCCATAGTTAGAAATATGGCTTACAGCCTTCAGTAAGGCTAACATATACTTTCTTATATCATCCAGATTGAATGTAGTTAAGTAAGTTAGGAAAGGTTTGCTCTTTTGATATTTGAAAACTAATGAAACTTGCCCTTCAAGTCTATATCCGCAAATGAGATCAGTGACATTGTTTTCTCCGCTAAAATTTCAATTAAAATTCGTGATCATAGCAAATTTAGACTTACTTTAAAAGTTTCAAGATTAACATCTCAATTAGAATAAATGCAGCATTAATTGTGGGAAATATTCTCTTGACAGCATATTGCTTTTACTTCCCATTTTCATCTAAATCTTTTGAGTCTTTTTTAGATCCCTTAAAAACAACTCCATATGAGCCTAAATGCATGTTAAAATCGAATAAAAATTGGGAAATTGCAAATTACCTCTTCCGATTTCTCTTTTTATACTGTACTCACCACGTAGCTCCTCGAATGAACAGAGTTTCTATGACTCTGGTTACTTTCTTGATTTGTTATTATCTGGCACACTACATATAGAATTAAAGAGTTAATTAAATACTTTGCAGTCACTTTCTTGTTTGCTTACATATTAGGCGGTGATATAATTAAAAGTTATAAATGTTTAATTGAATTTAAATTCAAAACTTTTAGCAATATTCCAAGATATAGATACCCGGGGTTTTGGGGTTTTGGGGTTTTGGGG